GGGCCGACGTCATGGCGATATTCCGTCAGCACGGCAGGCTAATGCCGACGATGATTTCATCAGGGTGAACAGGTGTACGCCTACGGTCACGCGCATTACCGCATTGATATTGAAATGTAATTTACCTGCTGCGCTTTCGGAATCCTTCCGCAATATTTACGCGGATGTATTAATGCGGGCTAAAAGTGCATCGATATGAATAGATCTCTTTTCCGGAGCTGCCATCGCTTGGGATTTTACACTCAGGTGATTGCCGCAGCATGCAATCGTATCTGCTAGTAGCAGATGAGCACCGACTCTTAGATACCCTCATGATAATCTCTTGTCTCGTTGCTAAGAGCATCGCTAGTGCGTGTATCTAAAGGTTTGTAGCCATGCAGGTGTGTGTATTTTCCACAATTCTCTCTACCTGAAACTCCGAAATTCGAAAAAAAAACGCTGAAACCCGAGATTTTTTAAATTTTTGTTAAGCGCCACTTGTGTGCACGAAATTACAAATAAACTGTACCAACCACTACTTCTATTGTCTATTTACCCCACTCAGTGTGAATACTCATGAGGCTAGCTGCAGATATACCTATTTGTTTGATTACTGGGCGCCACAGACGCCGCCGCTAAGGTGTTTCCGTAATAAACCGTATAATATTATTATCTACACCTATAACATACTAACATACCGAAACTCGAAATATTCCGAAATATGAAACGTGTTTGGCCCAAGGGATTATAATAAGGGGCCGTGGACTTGTGCCTCTATTTGCAATTCCATTCCAGTTCTATTTACAATTATATTTCTAGTTTAATTTCTATTTCCAGTTCGGCATAAACGTAAGCAAAGCAGGATTATCTAGCCAGTTGTTGTTTGAGTAAGATATATGATACAACATGGTTGTTTTATATGATGCAAATGAGGTTTGTAAACAGGCCCTTTTGAGATTGGGGTTTGAATTGGGTTTATTTTTCATCAATTGTGAAGTTGCAAATAATTAGTACGAAGGACACCACAATGTATAGTATTCGGCTTCCTCTCTGTCTAGCTACACGCGAGCGTCTGCAATCATACAAACCGTGACGTCACGATGACGGCACGTGACGTAATCCGCGAGCTGTGGGCATTCAGGAACACTGTAATGCTCATATGCACGCCGATCCTGTTGCTCCCTCTACCGCTAGGAATCGGAACTAAGGTGAGTGTACTTACAAGCCATATCCATAGGCAACATACACCTACCTATCTAATTATATTTCGTTGAATCAGAGTTTTTTTTAATATATCTCTGCTTAAATAAACTTGGTATCCTATTA